CTGCTGACTGTAGCCAAGTTATGATAAATAGAAGCAAGGTAGGTACTTTATTATTGGGCTCATAATAGGACAACTGGAATAACCTGCTGGATAGACTGAAATAAAGACCTGTTATTTAGGTTCTCAAACTTCACTAATCACACCAGTAATCAATATTATAACATTCTCATTTCCTCTGTGTGTGTGTGTGTGTGTGTGTGTGTGTGTAAACTCATAGGGGATTTTGGTAGTTTCCCTGGAACGGGTCACACCTCCACTCACCTATCTCAATAGTGCCAACAGTAAAATCCTTAATGTTTTAGCAAACATCCCTTGAAATCATGGAACTTTACAGCTGAAGGGAGCTTTGGGGTGACCTTGTGAAATCTTGCCCTCTCATTGGACTCAGCTGTGATCTGGAGGATTTTTGTCATCTGCCCACAACTATATAGCTGGATAACACTGGCAGCTTTATTATAACGGAACTGGACGTACGCATAAGTATTCTCATCATCTTACACTCTTTAACAAGAAGAAATCATTGCATATTTCAACATAAAACTGTCAAACTTGTTTTCCTCGTGTTCTGATCAAGCCCTTGTCTGTAGACGATGCTCAGACACATTTTGCACGTCACTATTTCTTCATGTTCACGCTATTGAAAGTCGTACATTTTGTTCACTGCTGTGTACTCTGTAGAGAAGAATATTAGATGCTTAGTGCATCTCCAGTAAGAGAATTTGGCCATAGCAAGTGTTTTGGGGCTGCATTAAGTGTATCCCAGGGAATACATTAATTATAATTAACATAATCATTCTTTCATTGGATTATTTAAACCCCTTCTACTCCTGCCCTACACCCTTCTGTTTGAGGGGCTGATTTATTGTATTATATCTAATTCGGACAGACATCTTTATGCAAGTTGACTTTTTAATTTTTTTTTTAAGTAGCTCTTTTTAAATTAATTTTTTATTTATTTTTGCTGTGTTGGGTCTTCGTTTCTGTGCGAGGGCTTTCTCCAGTTGTGGCAAGTGGGGGCCACTCTTCATCGCGGTGCGCGGGCCTCTCTTGTTGCGGAGCACAGGCTCCAGACGCGCAGGCTCAGCAGTTGTGGCTCACGGGCCTAGTTGCTCTGCGGCATGTGGGATCCTCCGAGACCAGGGCTCGAACCCGTGTCCCCTGCATTAGCAGGCAGATTCTCAACCACTGCGCCACCAGGGAAGCCGCAAGTTGACTTTTAAAATAGGATTCTTTTAAATTGGCCTGAGAATTTTAGGAAGTAAAATTATTAAATCAGGGCGCACGTTTAATAACTTTTGGTACTTGTTAACAAACAGTCACCTCAAAGGACCAAAAATATATGACTGAAGAGTTTCACCAGCTCATTTGCCTTTATAACTATTTCGTTTTGGTGTCAACAATTCAATACAAAACGCTATTTTATTCAAAGTGTTTCTTTGATCCTTGGTAAGGTTGGGCATTTTCCATGCTTGTTTAATTTTAGCCCAAATTTCTTCATTCCCTACCTATAAGTTACTCCAAAAAACATCCTCTTCCTCGGGAGCGCTCAGTGGGCGCCCTGCCCCGCGGCCTTGCTGTAGGGCCAGGACCGCCAGGGGCCACGCCAGGGCTGAGAGCCGGAGTGGTGCCTCATCTTCTCGTCACCCCCTCACAGTTCAGATTCAGGGGCCCCTTGCGGGTTTTCTTGGTTTTAGTTTTCTCTCCTCCTCCGGGAACCGCGCGGGTGCCGGGTGTGTCGGGCTGGCGCGGGATCCACTCGCTCCGCGGGGCCTGCGTCTCTGGCTCGGGCCCCAGGCAGGCTGGGTCGCCGTTCTCCGTCACAGCCAGCGCCCTTCAGGCTCTTGGAAGCACCGGGGAAACGGCCCGTGAGGAGCTGCCCTGCCCCCGGGCTCTGGCGCTGTGGGACTTTCAAGCCGGGCAGCTCGGCGGGTGGAGCACAAGGGACAGAGGGAGGGCAGCGGGGAGGGGACGTGGGTCTAGAAGCCGAGGGGCAAGAAGCCGAGGGGCAAGGGGGTGGCGCGCGGGCAGCCGTCAGACCCTGGGCCCCTGCGCACCTGGCTCCCGAAGGACCCCGGGGGCAAGCGTGCCGTCCAACTGGGGCGGAGCTCAGGGGCAGGGTGTGGGCGTCCCCAGGTACTGGAGTCACAGAAACTGCGTCCTGCTGCCTGGGGGGTGGGGGCAAGGCAGGGTTGTGATTCCTGATGGGTTTAAAAATGATCCCGAGTTTCCTGCAGTTTGTGGGGGTTTTAGTATTTATTTACTTACTTACTTATGTTTATTTTGGCCGTGCCAGGTCTTAGTTGCGGCACGCGTGCGGGATCTAGTTCCCTGACCAGGGATCGAACCCGGGCCCCCTGCATTGGGAGTGTGGAGTCCTACCCACTGGACCACCAGGGAGGTCCCTTCCTGCAGTTTTTAAAGCACGCCTATACATATATGTCTAGTGGTGTCTCTGAGAGTTAATGTACGGAAACTGCACACTTGCTGAATTTGGTGGAAGGGACAGACGGCAAGGGCAGGACTGCGTGACTGTGTTGTTTAGTAAACAGGAGGGCTCATTAGCGTGGTCGGGTGTGTGACGGGTGTATGGTTAGTCGGGTCGGTTGTGGCGATTCGAAGCAGCCCTGTGAGCACGTCGGTACCTGTGGTTGCCTCCCGGTGTTTTTGCTGGTTAAGTTCCTCGACTGGAAGCGAAGCGTTGGGAAGGTTGGAATCTTGAGGCTGAGGCCACTGCGCAGCAGGGAGTTGAACACACACACGGTCTGACGTGGCTGGTCCGCAGAGTCGCCGCTTCCTTGACACGTAGCCAGTCTGAAGCGACGCACACGTGCGGCCGGTCACCCCAAAGAAGCCAAGGCTTCGGTCCCGTCCCAGACACAGCAGATGGGCGCTGTCCGCAGCGGGCTGGCTCTCCCCCAGCTCGTGCCCTTTCCTTCGATCCCAAGGCAGCTCTGGCTAGCGTTGCCCAGCCTCGCGAGCCGTCCCTTCCCGCTGCTCCCCCCAGAGGCTGCCTCCCCCGCAGCCCTTGGCTCACGGGCGGGGCTCTTCCTGCCTCTTCTCTCCCGAATCCCCGAGGACACAGGCACAGGTCACGGCCGCGTGCGCGCTTTGTCCAGCCACCCCGTGGGGCCCAGCCAGGATGGAGTTTAATATTATGTACACAATCAGTGGATGTGAAGCACCGGAGTCCTTCCCGTCCCTGTGTTAGGTGGGTGGGCGCAGCCCTGAGCCACAGGAGGGTCAGGTCTCCAGGCTGTCGCAGTCCTAACAGAGGGGCAGACACACAAGCGCGGGGACAGGTCCACTCTGTTAGCCTCGAAAAGCCCCTGGCCCGGCAGGCGGGGAGAGCGGCTCATCCGTCCTCAGGGTCCGGGGCGTCTCCTGGGTTTCTGCCGTGGCTCTTTGCTGACCGGCCTCTGTCCCCTGGGGACCTGGGGACCTGCTGCCTGCTCACTGCCTTCTCCTCTCCTGTCCAAGCTACCGCAGTCTCTGTCAGGGCTCTCCCACCCCTGCTGCTCTCAGACCCCTCCCCTCCGGTCACCAGCCCCTTCCTGCATTTGCAGTTCCCTCCTTCCCGTCCACCCATCCCTCCACCTTCAGAAGACCCGTCTGTCCATAGAATCCCCTCTTGCTGCCCCTCCCGGTTCCATCCTTGAAGGCTGGCTCCCCTGTCTGCCCACAGCTCTGCAGAGCCGACCCAGGGCGCCTGGGCCACAGCCCTCGCAGCCCTCCCCCTCCGGCCTGCGCACCCGACCACGGTGTCTGCAGCTCTGCCCCTGGCCCATCCTCTCACTGACCCCCGACCCTGCTTGGAAAGCTCCTGCGACTGCCTTCAGATAGGGGGCCCGGTCTGTGGTGCCTCCCCGCTGGCCCTCCCACCTCCCCGTTCTTCCCCCACCAGGCCCCTGCTCTGACTGTACCACCTGCTGCCAAGAATACCTTTCCTCCACTGAGCCCTCCGGCTGCCCAAATCCCGGCTGTCCTTGAAGAGCCGGCTGTGCCTCCGTCTGGCCTGCGATCAGTCCCTGGTCCCTCTCCGTCCTCCGGCCCTCTTCCCCGGTGCTCATCCCGCCAGCAGTGCTGGGGCCTGTCTTGCGCTGATGTCCTCTCTCGCCCACCGCTGCCCGCATGGGCACAGGGCACCATAAACAGTAGATGTGCAGCTCTCCCCTCAGGGCAGGGGTCCCTCCCACAGGAAGCCAGGGCTGGGGAAGGCCAGTTCTCTGACTTCCACAGGCTAGATGGGAATTTCAGTCCAGTCACAGAAGTTTTCTAGCAGGAGCAGGACGTACGGTCTTCCAGGCCCATCGTCGCGGTCTGGGGGTCAGTGAGGTTGTCATCGGCGCCTGAGGACACGTCCTCAGTGGTGCTGGCTTGGAGCCGGGCGCAGGGCGGGAAGGCAGTCCTGGAGGCTGCGTGTCGAGGGGACGCGCACCCAGGCCCCCACTGACGTCTCTGTGTCCACCCCACCCCCAGGAGATGGCGGGCAGGGCCCTCAAGCAGACCGGCAGCCGCAGCATCGAGGCCGCCCTGGAGTTCATCAGTAAGATGGGTTACCTGGAGCCGGGCAAGGAGCAGATTGTGCGGGTCGTCAAGCAGACCTCCCCAGGTGAGCACGCTGGGGGCTGCGGGCAGGGGCCATCCTGACGGTCGCCCGAGGGCGGGAACGGCGGGTGGCAGATATGACACTGAGCTGGGTGCTTCCTACTTGCTGGGTTTGTGGACTTCTTTTGCTTATGAAAGATCGGAAAATTCACTGGATATTAAAATGAGGCAACCCCCGCAGGTTCTTTCTGCTTTCTCTTGGGCTTGTGGGGGAGTCTTTGAAGGGGAGGCTTATTTCATTGATTCTGAAACACACCGTTTCCCACTCTGTGCCCTCTGAGAGCAGGCTGCCCAATGGCAGCCCTCCAGAGCTGGACACCTTGGGCAGAGGTGTGGGAAAGCCCCCTGGTGCCCCTGGCGAGGGCCAGAGGCCCCAGCACCAGATGTCTTGCCTTGCTGGCTGACACTGAATGTTTCTGTTTGCTGGCAGAGCAGATGGGGCCCCTTTGGGGACCTGAGGTCCTTGGGTGTAGTAAGGGATTCAGGATATTGAACAGGAGTGTTCCCTGTTTTGTGGGAGACCTTGGATAAGCCCAGTTCATCTGCTGAGGGGGAAACTGCACGGGCTCTGTAGCCGTATCTTCTTTGTGAAGAGGACACAGGTTTCTGTTTTCTTCTTGACTGAGGAGTTCCCTTAGACAGTGCCTCGCTGGCCACCGTGTCCAGACTCTGAGGGTCCCGGGGTCTGCGTTGCAGCCCCGCCCCTCAGGAGGCAGCGCCCATCTCTGATGACCCCGCACCTGCCTTGCTCGTGGTCCTTCTGATGCATCATCTTAGCCTGAGAACACAGTGTCATTTGCCGTGGCTTCTGCTGGAAGCACAGCTGCAGAGGGTCTGGGCTCGGCCAGGTGCTCCGCGGGGGCGTCCTCGGACAGGCAGAGCGCGGCCTTTGGACTGGGAGCCCGGCGCCGCCCACGCGGCCGTCACTGGTGTCAGGGGCCTTCCCAGGCCTTCGGCCGCGGAGTAGCCGTGCCGCGGCATCAGCCTCCCCTTCACTCCTCTGCAGGAAAGGGCCTGGCGCCAGCCTCTGTGCCGCGGAGGCCGAGCTTCGAAGGAGCAGGTGACCCTTTCCCGCCCTACGCCCAGGTGAGCGGGCCGGCCTTCGAGGGCCCCGCCGCCCTGGAGGAGGCGCCCCGCCAGTACCCGGACTTCCTCTTCGCCGCCGTCGGGCCTCACTGCCGTCCGCACCCACCCAAGGGCTATGCCGCCGCCGGGGAGGCCGCCGGGATAAGCCTCCCCGGCCCCGGGGGCCCGGCGCCCCCGCTGCAGGGCCCGCACTACAGGGCCCCCCTGCTGGTGCCCGGGGAGCCCCTGGGCTACGGCGTCCAGCGCAGCCCCTCCTTCCAGAGCAAAACCCCGCCGGAGGTCGGTGGGTACGCGGGCCTGGCCGCCAAGGGCCCGGCTGTGCAGGTGCAGGTGCAGCCCGGCCTCGCGTTCCCGCCCCCGGGCGGCGCCGCCGCGTACGCGCCCCACCCGCACCCCAAGCAGCCCCACCCGGTGCACGCGGGGGGCCCCCGGGGCGCCGTGTTCGCTGGCGACAGCCCCCCGCAGGGCCTGGCCACCCCCTCCCGGACCGGCCTCGGCGCCGAGCGGTTCGAGCCGAGCGCGCCCCCCGCGCCGCAGTGGCCGAGCGCCGGCCTGGCCCGGCGGGACTCGCTGCAGAAGCCGGGCCCCAGCAGGACCGGCTCCTTCAACGGCCACCAGGCGGCGACCGCGCCCTCCCCCAACGCCATCACGGCCGTGACGGCCGCGCACATCCTGCACGCGGTGAAGAGCGTGCGGGTGATGAGGCCCGAGCCCCAGACGGCCGTGGGGCCTTCGCACCCCGCCTGGGTGCCGCCGCCGGGCCCCGCGCTCGAGGGCCTGGAGCCCCAGGACGAGCATCCCCCCGCCCCGGGGGGCGCCGAGGCGCGGGGCCGGCCCCCGCCCTACCCGCGGCACCTGCTGCGGCCGCAGGGCCGCGCCGAGCAGTACGACGTGGACGGCCTGTGCGCGGGGCTGCAGCAGGGCCTCCGGGGCAGCCGGGCCGCCGAGCCCCCCGACGGGAGCCCCAGGAGCCCCAGGGGCGCCAAAGGGGAGAAGGCGGGCAAGGACCGCAAGCAGATCCAGACGTCCCCGGTGCCCGTGCGCAGGGGCTGCCGCGACGAGGAGAAGCGGGAGTCGCGCATCAAGAGCTACTCGCCGTCCGCCTTCAAGTTCTTTATGGAGCAGCACGTGGAGAACGTGCTGAAGACCTACCAGCAGAAGGTGGCTCGCAGGCTGCAGCTGGAGCAGGAGATGGCCAAGGTGGGTCGTGGGGTCGCCGCGGGTCCCTTCTTCCTTCTGCTTCACGCACCTCCCCTCGAGGCCGGTGGTCTCCTGGGGAGGGGGGGCTGGTGTCGGGCGTCCCACCTGGAGAAGTCCCGCACGTTGCGTTCCCCTTCCCCCTCACTCTCGGGAGGGGGCGGGCTCTGCCTGACGTGCCGGCGCATAAATGAACACATTGGCTTTGATGGTGTGTCCTTACTCGTGCACAAATCCACTGGGTCTTATGGTGTGTCCTTACTCGTGCACAAATCCACCAAGTTTTTCTAACTGCTAAGGAAACATTTTGAAAGAGTAGAAAGTTTGAGGTTTTATACTTTGAAATTGTGGGATTTATAAAGACAGATACATCTAGTAGTGATTCATCTATTCCTTAAGTCTATAGTTAGCAAATAAGGTTTGAAATATACCCTAGTCGGCACTAAACTGATAGAAAAGGTAATTATTAATGAAATTATTTAGATTAAAATGCTATGGTCAATTTAAATCACACAGAGCCAGTAACTCCAAATTCTAAAAATAAGATTTGTGCCCTTCCCACTGTCCCATTTTCGTTGACTTTGTTTTCCCATTTTTCCCCTGAACTATTATTAAATTATTACATTGCTCTTAGAGCTCCGGGAATTTTGTGGTCCCCTTTCCCCCAGATTTTTATTAATATAAGTTTCCTGTAGTTTTTAGAGCCTAAGGTCACCTGGAGAAAGAAGTCCCTGTTATTATGTCTTCCCTTTCGATTCCAGATCTGCGACTCTGTGTGGATGTAAAGAACAAAGAGTTATTTTCTCGCTTGTAGTGTCTGGCCCCATTCTTCTGCACCCTGGTTTCCGTGGATCGATTGGGGTCCCCTGCGTTCTGGGGCCTCTTCCCCACCCCCCTCCCTCACCCCTCCCCCCGGGCTCCCCCAGGGTGACCCTCCCCTGTTTCCTCCTGCACAGGCTGGGCTCTGTGAAGCTGAACAGGAGCAGATGAGGAAGATCCTGTACCAGAAGGAGTCCAATTACAACAGGCTCAAGAGGGCCAAGATGGACAAGTCCATGTTCGTGAAGGTGAAGACCCTGGGCGTCGGCGCCTTCGGGGAGGTGTGCCTGGCCTGCAAGGTGGACACGCACGCCCTGTACGCCATGAAGACGCTGAGGAAAAAGGACGTCCTGAATCGCAACCAGGTGGCCCACGTGAAGGCCGAGAGGGACATCCTGGCGGAAGCGGACAATGAGTGGGTGGTCAAGCTCTACTACTCCTTCCAGGACAAGGACAGCCTGTATTTTGTCATGGACTACATCCCGGGCGGCGACATGATGAGCCTGCTCATCCGCATGGAGGTGTTCCCCGAGCCCCTGGCCCGCTTCTACATCGCGGAGCTGACACTGGCCATCGAGAGCGTCCACAAGATGGGCTTCATCCACCGCGACATCAAGCCGGACAACATTCTTATAGATCTCGATGGCCATATCAAGCTGACAGACTTTGGCCTCTGCACTGGGTTCAGGTGGACGCACAACTCCAAATACTACCAGAAAGGTACCGTCTCAGGCCAGGTGGACGCAGCTGTGCCGCCTCAGGCCTTTCCTTCCCCTCCTGGGGCGCAGCTGTCACTGGGTGATTTTATGATTTGGCGTGACATCTTTTTCTCCCTGAAGAAGTCGTATGACGTGTGAGGTGGTTTTTTTTTGTAAGTTAGTGGCTTCAAATTTTACTAATACGTTTTTAGGACAGTAGGCCACAGCGTCTCATGGGGCCTTGCTGAGGAGCCATCACTCTGCCCTATTAAAGCAAGCTTTAAAAAACAAGCCTCCCAGCCTCCCAAGGAGCCCTCTCTCACAGCCACCCTGAATCTACCTGCAGGCACAGACCTGGCTGTGGATCCAGCTTAACTCCACCTCCTGTGGTCCTGCTACCTGGAAAAGTCAGAAACAGCCGGTCATTATCTTATCTATGGCTTGAATTTTTATAATAGTGATTTTAATACTCTATAGCTCAGGCTTCTATTTTTTAACTCAAAACTAACCCTAAATCATTTATTCATTCCCATTTTCGGCCCTGAAGTCATTTGTGTTCGTATTTTCTAAATCCTCTCACTCTTTTCCGTGCCCGTCGTAAAACATGTCTATCAAACAGGTGGTGGTAGCCTTTGGGACGGGCCTGAGAGGCTCTGGGGCCACCATCCCACAGTCCCTGAGCCTTTCTCAGCGGCCCCGCACTGTCACCCAGCACAGGGCACAGCCCCTGCGGCCACCTCCCCCATGCTGCCCGTGTTGGCACAGGTGTGCACCTCACGGCTTGGGTGTGAGACCCAGGACCTCAGCCACCTGCGAGATGACGGGAGGAATCTTTGTCAGGAGCTGGGTTGGATTACTTTTCCTTTTGAAGCTATGGGTTTGTTGCATTGTTGAAGAGTGAAAATTAACTGTTTCATTCTCTTCTCTCCTCACCCCGCTTCCTGGGTGAAAGGGAGTCACACCAGGCAGGACAGCATGGAGCCCAGCGACCTCTGGGACGACGTGTCTAATTGCCGCTGTGGAGACCGGCTCAAGACCCTGGAGCAGAGGGCGCGGAGGCAGCATCAGCGGTGTCTGGCTCATTCCCTGGTTGGGACCCCAAATTACATCGCCCCAGAAGTGCTCCTCCGAAAAGGTTCGTGCTTCGGCCCTGCACCCAAGCCAGGTGACCTCTGAGGGTCCCGAGCCCCAGCTTTCAGAGACTCGAAGTGTCCCCACTGTGTCTGTGCTCACGGGAGCCCGAGAGCTGGATTCTTTCCTTAGCAAACACAGCCTCCAGTGTGTCTCCCTCTGTTTGGGAGCTGCCTTTGCTTCTGGCCCGTCTCCACCTGCCCCTCCTTAGGCTGGAAGTGACAGGCTGGGTGCGAGGTGGGCTTGCTCCCTGGAGCCCAGAGGAGTCGCTCCAGAACTGGTTTTGACAGAGTCCTGTGATAGACAGGACTGGGGGTGGGGGGGTATGCGGTGGGGCGGGGGGGTCCTACCTGGGTCAACCACCTTCACTGGTCAATGGGTGTGAGGATACAAACACTGTGTCCTCCAGTTCTCCGCCGCAGGTCCAGAAGCACCTTCAAGGTAAGATTTGGGGACAGCGGTGCTCCGTCCCTTCCAGTGGGCGCTTGGCCGAGCACGAGAGGCATCTCTGACAGTCAGCTGCAGGGCCCGCAGCAGCTGCGTTTGTTTATCTGATTCCTTACGATGAACCCAGAGAGCAGTGGCCTGTCTGTTCTCACGTGTTGTTTCCAGTCATTCGAGCCAGGACCCTCGGTCCTCTCCTGTGTTCTCTGTGAGCTGTGTGACCCAGCGCGGGTTACTAGCCTCTCACCGCCTCACGTGTAACAGCAGTGCCTTGAGAGGTTAGAGTATTAACCTCCCTGCCCAGTAAAGCTCTCCCTCTCCCCCTCCTTTCAAAGAGGGAAGGGTGGGTGCTGGCCTGCGGGGGAGGACAGCCGTCTCCCCCAACCCCCCCCCCCC